CAGGAGGTCCGGTAACCACCACTTGGGCGCCGGCTTTACTGAACTGGACAGCAGTGGCCGCACCGATGCCCGAACTCGAGCCCGTAATCAACACTACTTTACCCGTAAAGTCGTATATAACAGACATTATTTTAAAAATATTATTGTTAAAATATAATTTATTAAAAAAGTATTTTGCTAGAAAATATGGTGTTTAATTATTTATTCTTTTTTGATAAACAGACTGCTTAATTAATATATAATTATACTTTAATTGCAATACAGTGTTATTTTAATAATATAAATAATTATAAATATTTATAAATATATAAATAAAAATATATATGATATTATTTTATATTATATATTATAGATTCAATATATTAAGAATAAAGTGGAAATTAAACTAAAATTTTTATTTATTAAAATTACATAATATTATTAGATAAAATTATCATATGTAAACTATTAAGTATTTAAATAATCGAATATAATAAGTGTACAATATTTATTTGTAAAGAACTTTACATTAAATAACTGCCAAGGGTATGTACACTTAATTAATAATATAACTACTTTAGTTTATAAATTAATCAATTAGTATTACAGTGACTTGCAATTATAATTTATTTAATTTAACAGCATAGTTTAAATTTAAGACATGAAAATCAGATTGAACAATAATAGTTTTTTATATTTATTCTCCATATAAAATACACATATTGTACATATAAATGCTTATGACAATAAGTATTATTTGAATTTAATAAATCTATAGTATCATAACTTAATAAATTTAACAAATAATTTTATAAACTAACTAATTATATTCTATTTGACATTAAAAAATGTAAATAATTATTTTAAACTGTCAATAAAATAATCATGTGTATCTTATTTCTCTCTTAATGCGCTAAAATCAAGTTTATTTGCGGCAACTATACCGCCATCAGCTAACATACTAGATCCGGTAACAAACGCAGCATGATCACTGGCCAAGTACAAAATTGAATGAGCTAGATCGTCCGGTTCGCCAACACGACCAATGGGTACGAAATCACTGTAAGCGGCCATATGTTTATCTGACACTTCTTGTGGGGTTCCCATAGCGGTTGAAAAGCCGGTGCGAACGGGTCCGGGACTAACAGGGGTTACATTTATATAGTTAATGTTTAGATATTAAGCTTAGCTTAATTGATTATTTTAATTAACATACTTAATAACGTTAACCCGTATGCGTTTAGGTCCCAACTCGGCTGCCATACATTGGGTAAACATATCCAGAGCACACTTTGCCATACAATAAGGTGAAAATCCAACAAACTAGGTAATTTTAAAATTTACATAATTACCATGAATAATAAGTGTTAATAAGATTGTACTGACTGTTCGCAATCCGGCGACACTTGAGATATTAATAATATTTCCTTTCGTTTTCTCCAAATGCTCGACACATATATGCGTTAAATATACGACAGAATTGAGATTAATTGCCATCACTTTCTCAAAGTTGTCGTAATAGTCTTTGTCCTGAAATGAGGCTAAAATCCCGGCGCCGGCGTTATTGACCAGAATATCAAGTTTACCGAAATGATTAATAGTCTCGTATACGAGTCGTTGCAGATTTACACGTTTGGTCACATCTGCCGTCACTTCCAGTGCTTTAATCCCTTTCGGCGATACTTTCAAACACTCTTTGGCCACTTCTGCCACTTTATCAGCTCTACGAC